TTATACCAAAGTATGCTCTGGTTGCTACAAATTTATTCTCCACTATGTAAAGAAGGGGCTTCCCAGGTAGCTCTGTGGTTAAAAAAAAAAAAAAATCCCATGCAGGAGATGGAGGAGACACGGGTTTGATCCTTGGGTCGGGAAGAAGCTCTGGAGAAGGAAATGGCAACGTACTCCTGCAGTCTTGCCTGGGAAACCCATGGACAGAGGAGCCTAGCGGGCTACAGCCGATAGGATTGCAAAAGAGTCAGATATGACTTAGAAACAAAACAACAGCAATGTAAAGAAGGCTAAGAGCAAATCAGAAAATTTTAGCTACATTAGATTGTTTAATAAAACAGTAATTTTAAAGTGTATATATTTTGGGAAATGCATTTGTGAACCTCCTATGATTACAGTTGGTTTTAAAGTAATAGAAAAAAATATTGATAAAAATTACTTTCTGGAGTTTTTGTGACTCTGAACACAGAGTCTGATGCAGAAATACACACCTGCCCAAAGCCCATCCTCACAGAGCTGTAAACACACACATCAAATGAAAAAGGTGTTGCTCTATGTTAGAAAAATGGATGGACACTGATGCACAGGACATCGATTTCAATCTATTTATAACTCGAGACCACAATCTCAGTATCTTCTTTTATAAAATGGCATTTTCTCTAAGTCACTTATTGTTGTGAAATCTTATATGAATCTCAGCTGTAAACTGTAAAGGTCTCTTTAAATATAAGGATCTGTTATTTATAATAATTTATATTAGTAATATTTGCTCTCTAGGGGAAAATTAATATTTCCCCAGTTATCCAATCAAATAGTGTAAAGCATCAATGAGATTACTATTACCAGAAAGAAATAAAAGAAATAAGTTCACGGTTATTGGACCTGTGGAAATATTTGACATCTAATTGCTTGTGAAACATGTACTTTTAGGAGGCAAATTATTGTCTCAGAGACATCGTGACCTGTTAGAGAAAGCAGAGACTGGTAGTAGATGCTCATGACAATTTTCCCCCCGACTATAACTGTCTCCACGTGTGTGGCCTTGGGAAAGAAACTTTATCATATTTTGCCTCAGATTGCCTAAATGTGAAAGTAGCAATGAGCCGAATGTTTACTTCTTTCTGGGTTTTGAAGCAACTTACACATAATTTCTTCAAAACCAACCCTCACATACCTGAAATTTTTGGAGGTAAGAGCTGATTTGATCACGACTATACGTTTATATTTCTCTGACCTGAGATGCATCTTACTGTGGACACTGACAAAGGTACCGTGACATGCTTCAGTCTCCTGGGTTGTGGGTCTGGTCAGGGCTCCGGCTTCAGACGGGCACAGTGGTTCAGTCATGTTGGAAGGAGCAGCACTGGCTCCAGTTGTCCAGTTGAATTAGATCCCCAGAGGCACTTTTATGACGATGAAGAAGTGTGTACTTTGGAGGAAGACAGACCTTGAAATCCAAATTTCTATGTGAAAGTGTCAAATTTTTAAATATCAGTTATTTCAATAATTTTAAAACATTAGTGAACCAACACACATACACACACACACACACACACACACACACACACACAACTTGCTTTCATAGAGATTTCAGTCCACAAATGAGCACACTGCAATTAGGATTTTACAGTATCTAGCGTAAATTTCTGTACTCATACCATGAGGCTTGAAATTCTAGTAATAACTCAATTTTGTGGGAGCAGCTGCCATTTGGGTAGTATATCCTTTTAATTTCCCTCTATAGAATCATTTATCAAGACTTTTTAAAAAATGAATCTTTATACTTTCTCTTCGTTGAAATTTGTAACCATTGTAATATAGTTGATGAAGAATGTGCCAGGAGAGTTAGTATTTAATATGGTCTAAACTTTTGCTACCAATGAATTCCTAGACTCTGAATAACAAAGTGTTATTTTTATAATCTTAAAATGAGGCCATTATACTAGATACAATAACTTTTCAATTTTTCCCTGTGTCTCAGAATTTATAATCTGCTGGTTTCTAGGAATAACCAGTATCCATGTATTCTCTTATATTTTCATAATTAAACATCCTGTCCCCCCTCTTATCCTAAAGGTCTTTTATTTCAGCTTCAAGAATTATTCTTTAATATTGATACTTGGGGATTTTTCTAAGTATTTCCATGTTCACAGATTCGTATTCTTCATGGTTTTCTAGTCTTAAATAGTATTTTTTGAAGTTATTATTTTTACACATGAAGAGTTCAAGTCCACCTATGTCACCTTTTCAATTTTTATGTCTATAATTCCCTTCTTGATATGTAGGGAGTAAAGCTGAACATTATATTCCAGGTTCTATTATGCCATATTTTATAAAAGTGTAAAAATAAACTATATAATTTCTGGTTGAAGTTTATACGCCTAAATTGTCTAATTTTCTAAATAGGATATAGTAACTTTATTCCTTACCTACCAAAATTGTTATGAGAATATATTAAAAAGTGTATTTAATAACATAATGCAAATACATTTTATTATTATTGTTTTAATAATACATGTAATTAAAACCACTCTAGTTGCTGAAATAATTTTAATATACTCAAAAGAATTGAACAAAGCACAAAATTTTACTTGGTTCTCCTGTAGTCTTCACATTTGTTTAAAATAGTCTTCTAGAATTATTTCATTTATTTTAGTGCAAAGAGATTTGTTTTTCATGTTACTAATTTATGTACAGAAATTTATAATGATAGTATGTAGCTCAAATGTCTAGATTGCTGGTCAGGATTTGCTGACTCCTTTAACTCTACCTCCATAGTAGCATTTATGCATTAAGTTTTCTGAGTGTTAACATTTAATAATATTTTATTTGATTTAACCTACACTTCAGAATTGCTGACATATAAAACTAAAAACATTATTTTGTTTCTTGATATAATAGAGTTCTGTATTTCATATTAATTTACCTTTTAGTTTACTAATAACCATGCTATGAAAGAACTACTGAAGAATTTTAAGCATTTTTTGGATGGTTCATGATACACTCAATAAGCATTCATTGAGCGTATCCAAGATGTCAGGTGCTATTTGTTGGGGCTCAGGTTATATAGTTTGGAACAAGAGAGAACCAGTTATTGTTTTCATGGAGCATATGTGCTCTTGAAAACTAGGAAGACAATAAACAAGCAAGCAAAAGCTTGATAGAGGTATATTCTGTGAAGATAAAAAGTACTAAATGTAATAAAAATATGAAAACAAAGAATAAAAACAACTAAAAATAATTTTAGAAAGTAACTGATGAGCAGAGAACTACTTTACATTGTTTGGACAGGAAGACATCTTTGAGTGAATATCTGGGCTATCTTGAAAGTCAAGAATGATCAGCAATGAACGCTGCAGGGAAGGGCATTCCCTGAAATTATGAGAAGTACAGAGAGACAGTGATAATTGGGTAGTTATGTTAAGCAAGGGGGAAAAGGCCACGTGGGTAAAAGAAAGTGAGCAAGAAGTTGGATAGATCATCAGAAAGTCTGAAAAACCAAAGTCTTCTCTTAACCACTTGGTTATGCTCTTGGAAGTTAAAAGCTCTATGTTGGGACTGTGGCTGTAGCAGTGAGTGAAGCATACAGGATCTCACCTTTATCAAAATAGGCAATACGAAATGTGAGCAAGTGCAAAGTGATTGGTGTAGCAATCTTTTTGTTTGTTTGTTTGTTTGCTTGCTTTCTGGGGGTTCGTGGTGGGTTTTTGCTTGTTTTGTTTTGCGGAGAGAATAATCATAGTTTTCTAGTGCAGTAATGGATAGCTTCAAACAGGAGTGATGGATAATAAGGCTTCCCTCATGACTTATAACATTGTAAATCAGTGGAAGTTTAACCCAAAACATGCAGACAGAAAAGGAACCGCCACAACTGGAGGATGGAGGCTGAAGGAGCAAGGATTGTTGAGTTTAGTTGTCATGCTTGGTTCATAAACATTGCTGTTCAGAGACAGAACTTTTATTAGGTCCATGCCTCAACTTGAAATCATGATAAGCTGTTTTGTTCTTTTAGCTGAAGCTGGAAGTAGAAGAAATATAATTATAATAGTCTTCATTGAAAGCCTAAAATGTTTCTTGGTCCTTGAAGCAATAGAAAGTCAGTTAGTTGTGATCAGCTAGAACCAAGTAAAGTAATATTTTGGAAGTATAGCTGTAACAGTGTGGTGAGTATGGGCAAAACAGTGTGATCAACTAGAAGCTATTGCAAAATTGTGTGTGTGAAATAGCAAAGACCATCAGTGAAAATCAAGAAGAAAAAGCAGATAAGAATGTAAAGATACCTTCTTTATTTGAATAATTTCTTTGAATCTAATAGGAGCATATTCATATGCAAGCTCTTAAAAATTCATGTTAAAATTTTTAGAATTTTTTTCTGAACTAGTATGTCAGTGTACTTGTTAAAGAGTAGAAGTGTGAAAATAAATGTTTGTTAAAGAGCTGAGGGTGTGCATTTCCAGAAGTCACTCGAAGTCATGTTGATGTTTTACATGTTAATGTCACTAATTTAAAAAAGGGTCACCCCTTCTTAATTATTTTAGCCAAAGTCCCTTTAGTCAGTTTGCCAACAAATAAGAGAATTTTCTTCTTTAATATATTTCAGCTCTATTATATTCATAGTGCCTAAAAATAAATCATATGTTTGAAGATAGTATAACTTAAAAAATATAACTCACCAAGAAACTGAAACATACACTATTATTATACTAAGATCTATTAGAAAAAGCCAAAGTATTAATAATGCTGTTGATGGTTTTGATGCAGTCAGAGTTGTATAGATACGTAAATTATAGGTAATTGATAAACAGCTAGAGATCAGATATGAAGTTACTGATCTTTTTAGCAAGACCTTTAATCAAAGTAGTTATACTTTATGACTGAATGTGTGTGTGTGTGTTTTATTTTAGGTGAAATACAGTATAAAAGAGAAAAATGATGGTGAATACTGTGTTGTCTAAATGCAACCAATCTTATTGAATAAATCCAATCCATATTCTACACAGGTATGACATCAAAGACGACTATACACTGAGAATTAAAAAGGCAGTGAGCACAGATGAAGGCACGTACACGTGTATCGCTGAGAATCGGGTTGGAAAAGTAGAAGCTTCCGCTACCCTCACCGTCCGAGGTAAGAGACTTAAGGTGTGAAATATCATTGAACTAGCAGACTAATATTCAGTTAAATTGGTACGTGAACTCATAATCAAAATAATAGCTTGCACTGTTTTATTAGTGCATAAAATGCCTGGATTTTGTGTCCTCTCAATTTTTAATTGAAATAAAATTACTTTCAAATTTGGATTTGAAAGGATGTGCATTTGAAGTGATTTTTATTTAATAAATAACAGCTAACAGTTTAAAATTAAATCTTAAAAATAGAAAAGATTTACACTAATCTTTTGTGTTTCCATTGTTGTGGTCTAATTACAGCTTTTAAATGTCACTAGGTTCAAAGATACTCGGTTTTCTGTTTACTAGATTGTCACTTTATGCTAGGAGACAATTTTTTTGAAATTCTTTTTGATTTTAGTATTCAAAAAGCAATCTAAAAAAAAAAAGAAAACCAACACTGCTTCTAAAGGTGAAAAATGGATACAAAGGAGCTCCCACATTGAGGAAATCTGATTTAGAGAGTGATTTGTGAAGTTAGTTGGCCTTAAATAATTGAAATAGTCAGTGCTGCTCCTGTAATAACTTTCACTTTCTGGGTGTCATGCACTTTCTCAGTCATGGAATCATTTCCATTTATAGACTCCCTGCCATTGCTTATAAGGGAAAGAAAGCATTATTTAACTCTACAGTGAGCTGGAATGAATTAAGCATCTTCCTGGTGGTGCATGTTGATCCACAGGAGTAAATTATATAGCCCAAAGTACCAAATAGTACATGTACACTTACTTGCCAAGTAGATATCACCCATGGCATTGTTTATACTCACGGGACTTACAGAGACAAGCAAGTGCATCCGTTGCTTAGTCTTTCAGCCTCTCATCCCTCAACTGATGCCTCCTCCTTCCATCACCCTCAGTAAAGAAGTCTGACTGCAAGTTTACATCCCTGTCTCTCAGTTGTATTTCACTTTGTCTAGTCAGACCCCAGCCTTGTGCAGTTTTACTCGCAGTTTACACAAGATTAGGTGAAAGACTTGGAAGAATTTGGATTGGCAAGAAGTATGTGAGGGATTCTCAGACTGGTCTTCTCTCTGGTAAGAAAAATAATTTTTACAGGATGTATGATGTGGGCTTTCCCTGTGGCTCAGATGGTAAAGAATCTGCCTGCAAGGCAGGAGACCCGGGTTCAAACCCTAAGTGGGGAAGATCCCCTGGAGGAGGAAATGGTAACCCACTCCAGTATTCTTGCCTGGAAAATTCCATGGGCAGAGGAGCCAGGGGTCGCAGAGAGTCAGGCATGACTGAGCAGCTAGCATACATTATTTGGGCATCATATCATTTAAAAACAAAAACAAAAAACTTATCTTCCTCCAGGAAACTATTAGGAGACATTCTGAATGTCTAGATGATTCTGGATACCTAGAAAAATATTGGTGATTTCCAAACTTCTCAGTCACTCTGTTCCTCTTCCACTTAATTCATTTTCCTCCATCCAGACATTCTAGGTTGGACTTAGATCCATAATAAATTTAAACAAAATTGGCAAGCCAGTTGCTTAAAAATATTTTTGTTTCTTTAAAAAGCTATGATCATACACCAATTGAACATATATATACTGGTAATATATGAGCAAAATCTGAAAGTCTTTGTAAGCCTCTTCACTATGGTTAACCTATATTTTCTGGTAGGTGATGATATATATGTATATATTTGTTTGCTTTTATCTAGTCAGCACTTTGCAAAAGCAACTCACCTGACCGTATTTCCCCCAAAGATTGTTTGTTTACTTTTTTTGAAGTAAGTGGAAAAAATAAACAACTAACCAAGAAATGTTCTAGTCAAAAAATATTTGCTGACTAAACAAATGGTGAGAAATGTGAGGAGTTGTTTGTTTATAGAAGCAAGAGGGTTCCTTTTATACTTGAATGTTTGGATGAATGAGATTTGAAGTGGTCTGTTTGCTTTAAGATACTTCCCCAGCTAATTATTTTCATAATTTGTTGAAAGTTTCAGGTTTACTATTTCATTTAGCAAAGCATGCTCCTCCTCAATGGGTGTTTGAAGCTAATGTACAAAACAAATAGAAAGAGTTTCTTTTCAATAAGACTTTGTTTTTTTAAAAGCAGCAAACCTTAATGATCTCTCCCCTGATGTGTGTCCTAAAGATGCATTAGAGAGTTTAATCTATTTGGTATTTATTTTCATCTAACTGATGTGTCAAAAACAGGGTTAAAGAATTAAAATCCCCATAATAGACTGTAGAGTAAAAATTGTTTAAAAACCATTAGGAAAAGCGGTTGGGATTTCTCATGCTAAGAGGTTAACAGGAAAAAAAAAATATTATCTGCAGCTTAGTTTTTTACACTCATTTTTCTATGCATGTAAATGAAATGTTCAACCCTTCTCTGGATTGTTTTATCAGAACAGGGTCAACTGACCAAAGAGGCTGCATCCATTTTCATCCATTTAATGCAAGGACACAGTTTAGTATAATTTGCTGATTTTGAAAACATCCACCTGCTGGGTTTTTTTTTTTCTTTTTTTTCCCCAGGATGAAATGTTGCTTTATGACAAAGACAATAAGATTTATTGTGATGTTTCTGCTGAAATTTTATCATGATATTTACTTAATCCAATTTTGGAAAAGAAAAAGAAAGAAAGAAAGTTTTATAATCAAAATCTCAAACAGACTTACTCAGTTGTTTTCCACTTCAGAAATATGGTGATTAAATTAAACTTAATAGCAAGTAGTTCTCTTTGCTGACTGGGCAAACATAAAATTAGAAAGAAATACTTCTAGACAACATTAAGCCTCCTTATATTTATATTCTTATCAAGTAATTCATGATCTGATAGAACTTTTTAACGTGGCTCCAAAATAAATGAACACAAACTGCATATTTGTAAACACGTTTTTCGCATTTTTTTAATTGCTTAAATGGGCTATGCCTAAACAAGGCTTCATTGGGAAAACTAGAACTATTTCAAAAACTATTTCTAGAGCAATAAAGTTCTAATTTTCTTGGAATTACCCGAGACTAAATAAAACAGAAATGTATTTTCTTTCTTTAAAACATGATTTCTTACCATATTTTTTTTTCCTTTTCTCTCTTTAGACTCAAAATGCCTTTTTGTTTCTAAAGGAAACATGATGTTTCAGATGCAGCTTAAATTGGCACCTGAAAAATAAAATTAAAAAATGAGAAACTAAGTTCTTTTTCTACTACACATTTGCAAAACTGAAAACTCTTATTTGTTAGAATATGGCACAACTTTATTATGTTAGTCTGTTGTCGTGTTCTTAGTTGTTATTGTTGTGTGTCCCTCCAAAAAAAGAAATTGTGTATAGTTGAGCGTACTTTCTTCCTCTTGCTGTAGTAAATCCCCTAAAGACTCTAGGACACACCAGAGTTTCACCAAGCTGAACTTTCACCAAGCTGAATTTCCATTCAGTTGCTATAATTGCTTTATTCTTCTTTGAATGATCTTCCCCCTTTTAATTGTGAATAATAATTAAATAATATTTAAATAATTAAATAATAATTGTGTCTAAGATCATGAATCTTGTAGAGAAGAGTTCCAGTACAGTTTCAAAGATTCCACAGAGCTAGAATTATGATGTATTTGTTGAGTGAGTGAATGAATGTCTGTAAATATGGTTTCAATGGCTGTATCTGTCTCACCATGCCCAAGAAGACATCAAGACAAAACTATTCATAAGTTTGAGGGTTACACTGTGTTTGCACTAGAGCTTTATCCACTGGGATATGAGTGAAGCACTTGTTTGTTGAATAAATTTATATTTTGAAATGTAAGTTTTTGTAAAAGTTCAAATGCTACTGAATTGATTTCTTCTTCCTTTGAATAATGAGGCCATATGTTTTATATTTGTCTATTGCTTTCATACAAAGTGGTTTACTATCTAAATTGATTTGGCAATATTCTTTTTAAAGAAAGTATTATTAAGCCCATGTGGGTCTCTTTCCATTTCCGTGCATTTATAAAGGGGTAGCCTATTTCAACTGATTTTAGTGATTGAAAGTTATGGAATAATAAAAAATAATAATTTGTTGAAGCAGCAGTTTGAAAGCCATTCTCAGTGTGAACAAGAATCAATTTGTCAGTCATTGTTTCCTGCCCTCTGCCAAAAAGAGAAAAGAGCTTAACCGTGGTTAGAGAGCTACTCAGTTGAAATCTCTAAGGATGTTCCAACCTATTTGTTATATTTTCATCCACCCTGTCCACGGATGAAAAGTGATGTGATCTTAACTTATTACTGGCTGAAAAGCAGCGTCAGGGGCTTTTTCTGTAGTCCCTGTAATGGTTCTGACTAACCATGCTTAAAATCCAATTGCTATTTAAATCAGACAGTGAGGCCTTCTTTTACTGACATGACATTTGCTAGTCTGTGACTTGAATGGTTATATTCATCAGGTTCTTAACTTTGGGATAACACAAGGCTGTTTAAAAAGATCTTTGAAATAATAACTGTAGTAAGTGATGATGGTGATAAGACCTCATGTATAATATCTGTCAAACTGCTTAGAGTTAATCTCAGCATGCAAAGTAATTGTTTTCTTAGACTTCTATTTATAATGTTCAGTTTTTATCAAGCTAGGACATCCTGTTCATACTTGAATAATGACACTAGAAATCACCCTACTGTCCATACTTAAATGTAACATTACACATCATGCATTCTGATAATTTTCTTTTCTTTCTTTTTTTTTTAATTTCTTTTTTATGTTCTCACCACACCATTGTAATGTCTACAGCTCGCCCTGTGGGTAAGTAGCCATCCTTCTATCCATTTCGCATGGCTTTGTACAATGCTTCATAGCTCATACATATTAGGATATGACAGATTGAAATACATTTGTCCACCCCTGTTAAAATATTACTTGAGGGACTGTTTGCTGAAAAGTTGCTTCTGACTTTTTCATCACTTTACTAAACCACGTAGTTACTTTTTACTACTTTGCAATTAATAGGTAAAATTTTCGTGTAAAAGAATATGTGAATGGTGAATATTATATACTGCTAACTTTTCTTGAGAAAATTACACTTCAGTTTTCTTGTGTGAATCAAATCTTTATGTTTGATATTTGTTAAAATAAAATACATTTTATGCACTTACGTTTTAAGCTGCTTGGAGTCTCTGCTTTGTAAGGGTATTTTTTACTGCTGCACACTTATTATCTGCATGCCATTTAAAATGGTAGAATGCTTCAAGTTATTGTAAATCATGCTTACACCTAGAAGAATAGGGAGTGATGATCTGTGTTCTTTGGCATGAAAAATTGTTTGACTATATCATTCTTCATTTGGCTTTGCAAAACTGAAATTAACAGCTTGTGCTTGCGTTAAGTGGTAATTATTTTTAAACAAAGATAAAATATTTTTTAATAAACTTTCTGCATTTCTTTTAAAGTTTAGCTTAACCTATCCAGAAATGTGTTTGAATAAAAGAAATCTTGGGAATTGTGTTAAAAGTAAATAAATAGATATATGCTTAAATGGATTGCTTCTTTAATGTACCAAGAGGTACTTTAATAGGTTTTTCAATTTGACAGAGCTATAAAACTGGTTCACCTAACTTCAAAAGCTTCGTTAATATACTGGCTTGACATTATTGGCATTTGGTATATAGTCATCCAGACTCATAACCTTTTTCCGGCATTGGTTGAAACATTCATAGACATTATTGTTCTGTAATGTCTTCTTATATAGATAGCAAATACTAAAGAGAACTTTGGCTTCCTAATCTGAATTTCTGTTTTGCTATTTCCAGGCAGTTCTTCCTTTGTCAGTTATTCAACATTCCTAATCCCCAGTCACTTCCTATATAAAGTTGAGAGAAAAGTCCTTACTTATCAGAACTGATGTAGGAATAAATTGAGTTCAAGATTGACCATATGTGTGAAAAGTTTTGTATGTCAGACATTGGTTAACACATTTCTAGTTTCTGAAACATATTATTTCACATTTCAATATTTCTGGAATATACTTATGGCTTATCATCAATTTCAACATAAACTGTAGGTGTTTTTTCCTTAAAACACCATTATTTAATTGATCATGCTTTTTACAATTGATGCTTTTAGAAGGTTAAGGAATATATTATAGTTTTTGCATTTGTAAGAATTCATATTAATGATAAGTTTACATATTTATGATATGGCATTGAAAATTAAGAAGTAAATGGGAAAGAATAAAATAACAACCTTGCAAATTAACAGGAAAAATCACATTAAATTATAGATCTTTGTATATAAAAATTTTATGCCAATAAACCATGACCACTTGATCTTTATTATTTTGCAAGTTCCCAAAACATAGAACAATATGTTAATAATTTTCGATATATAAAAACTCTTGAATAAAAAAATACATTGATTAGAAAATATGATCTATGCAGAGTATTAGATGTATTTGTTACCTACAAGGCAATTCAAAATTTATTTCTGTTTTTATTCTTTTTTGAAATGGTTTCTTAAATTCCCATTGGACAGGAACTAAAGAATAGCTTCTTGACACATTGTACTTTATTCTGGGAAAGTCTGTCATTTCATAAATCTTTCCTGAATGACATGACAATGTTCAGAGATATGAAGAACTATACTTTAAATTTGACAACTATTATTAATTTGGGAAACTGAATGTTTGATATGCTTTTATTGGATCACCAAAGAAGACTGATAATGAGGAAATTAGCTTACTTTTTCTTTGCATCAATTTTTTACATCAATTTTAATTCAGGAATTATAGATATGGCAACTTTTATTGTAAGGTTCGAAGATACAAATCCATTAAAAATCTAGCATTTGAATCAAGTAAATACTCAAATGCTAGAAAACTACATTATTAATATTTGTTAGTAGACTAAATGTTTTTTAACTTTGAAACTCTTAGCAGTAGCATAAGCAGTATTCTACGAAATAGAAAGCAGAGGAGAATCCATCTTTCAATGCTAGTATAAACTATGTGAAGAAATATGTACCAAATGTATAAGATTTAGAGAAAATTCAGTGGGTAGTTCCTGTCTAAAGCTTTTATTTTTATTTTTATTTTTTTTCCATTTATTTTTATTAGTTGGAGGCTAATTACTTTACATCATTACAGTAGTTTTTGTCATACATTGAAATGAATTAGCCATGGATTTACATGTATTCCCCATCCCAGTCCCCCCTCCCACCTCCCTCTCCACCCGATCCCTCTGGGTCTTCCCAGTGCACCAGGCCCGA